TCCACAAATACTGGCGAAAGGAAAACGTTGTAGAAAGGTTGGATGACGTGACGTAATAAAAAGAGAAAGAAAACGAATCTGTTTCACTAACAGCTACGGTAATTGGTAGAAATGGTCACGGTCGCTATCACTTTTCCTGGCGTGCACCGACAAGTAAGCCATTTTTATTTTTCTTGGTACAATGCGTAGCTCTCTCTAAAACCGTAGGGTGGCGAATGGTTGGATTTGCTGCATGTCCTAGCATATGTTAAATGACTCGACCAGGTGTTCTCATTAATGACATTTTACCTCATCACATTACACTACACTATTTACTCCGTATTTTAGTGACAATTTAGGTGCGGACAGCACACTTGGAGGAATTAGAGGCACTCTTCAATATACTCGCTGCGACAGGTTCGATCCCCCAAGGGTAAACTAATCCCCCTATCCCCCAAACCCTCTGAAGTCGGCTAGTTTGTATTAGAATTGTCTGGAAGGATTAAAATAATAACTAGATGCACTGCTAAGTCCCTATTGTACGGAATAGAAAAGGATTCACTCAGATCTACGATGGACGAATGGAAGCCAATGCAGGATGTATCAGGAAAAGATTGACCAACGATGAGCGCTTTATCCTGCATTAGAACTACTTTATTATATAGAAGTAATATTTGAGTGATAATTCTAATAACAACAATAATAGTGATGATAATAATAATAGTATTGGCGATTCGAATCGCTTATGAACAATAAACTAGTCCAGGTTAGTTTTCTATTTTCAAGCTTAGTGCTCCCTCTAAGTGTCACTAGCACCATAAACTGAACATGAAGTTGCAGAAAACGATAAAAGAAAGAGAGTAGAAACTTTGACACGTGTCATTTTTTTGACATGTTAACCAGAAGACGAAAATGGGGAACTAGAAAGGAGGAAAATCGCTGCAACTCATCTTACTCTAACGACTAGAAGAATAAAAATAGACGAACCAAAAATAGAGCCAGTTAAGCTTCAAATTATAGTTCTAAATTCTATGAGAAAAAACGGTGATCGAAGGGAAATGAAGGAAAACCAAGATGAACACGGCATTTTAGAGGAGGAAAAAATTGGGAGAACAGAAAGAACAGTGATTTATGTACCTGCTGAGTGGAATAACTGCAATCATTCACCTGTTGAAGAATGAATCTGTGATTTACGTAATCAAATGCGTTGACTGAAAAAATATCCGTAAATTTCGCTGAATTACAAGTTTGTCTAGCCGTACTAAACAATCCTTTCTTCGAAAGAGACTAGAGGCCTCCCGTTGGAATAGGCGCTCATATTTTCTGCAAATGACTTAACTACTGAATAAGACGATTACCGATCCCCAGCAATCGCCTGGGTAAAGTAAGATTAACTACTGCATTGCCAAAAAAAACCATTGAGAATCCTAGAAAACGGAAGATGCAAGAAATCACTATGAGAGCAACATGAGAGACCCGGATCTGACTAAAGTGAGCAAGTAAACAGAGTGTAACTACATTTTCCGGAACGCATCACAGCGAATGCCGAACGAGCCTCTAAAACCGACGAATAAAATGGTAAAAACTGTTGGAATAAATGCGATGAGACTCGGGGTTATGGGACAAGTTCACATTGAAATTATTTTCAATTAAAGTCTCAACCAGATTATTTTACTAAATAAAACCGACATAGTAGGCGGGAATTCGGACGACGTTACTGGTAACTTACTACCTTATATTTTTTAAGTTAAGGAAGAGAGAGCACAGGAGAAAACATGGAGAGAGAAAGTGGAAAAAAAGTCTGAAGATATTATGTTTAAAGCAGAGTCTCTGCCCCCACAACGTGATGAAGTTAGCATAACCAATCTATAGAACACGTACTTTCTGTTGAAAGACGATCCCCTCGATTATTTACCATATCACTTGGTCTCATAGCCACCATCAGCCAAATTCAATCTTCCAGAAACTTCGCTGTATAATTCATATTTTTCATTTGCTTTACTTCTATCCGTAAGCCATGAAATGGAAGATTACTCAATTTGCGCTGTCATCTCTTTTAAATCTTTGAACCTCTTTGACCTAACAACAGAAAGCAACACTGTTTTTGCCAAAATCCACCCAATGTTTTATGTTTATTTTCAAGGAATTTCCAGAAATGTTGGATCGTCCACATGAAAAATCCAGATGGGATGAGCTCCCGATCTTTTTTGCGAATGAAACATTTATATTTCGCATGATCTTAAGCTATGCTTATATGCACTGGAGCAGTACCCTGAATGCGGATTCGCATAGAAATCTTAAACAAATAAATGGCTCGGACCTCACTTGGGATTTGCTTCAGCGAAAAAGTAGCTTAGTGGAACTATACGTGGGCTTTAACTACCAAAACAGCGAAATAAAGAGCATCTTTGTCTAACAACGTAATAATCACGAAAATGAACATTTAGAAAAGAATGAATTTGTCATAACAGAGACAGATATCATCATTTCAAACTACTAACATCTGGAACAACTACGGTAATAGCTTGCACTTTAAGGAACTCCCACTGAAACAAGAAGCTTCAATAGTACTTGAAGATACGAGTAAAGAAAACCAAGCGCAACCTTTCGAATCGAGTGAGACGACAACAAATAAGCAGTTTTCTTCAAAATATACTGTTGTGGTGGTAGAAGTAGGGATGCCCTTAACACGAGTTTTGCCATGAATATAGATTCCTTTGCGAAATTAATGACCCGAATCGAAAGTCTATGTCTTGCAAGCAATGGAAAATATTGGCTATGACTATAGAGAGCATTCTCTGTCTCCTTATGCACCTTCTTTGCACTATCTGCCAATTGATTCCAAGCAATACTTACACACTTGTTTGCAGCCAGCTGGAAAACTCTTTGTAATGTCTGTCCTGTCATGCAAGCAGCTACACTTTTGTAAGAACCTGTGGTTAAAGGGTGCTAACACCCAGAAACTTGTCAAAGATTAGGTTACAAAGAGTGAGGATCCCCATAATAGCCTGTTATCACTCCAAAGTTCATCTGAGTCCATATTTAGTATTTCGTCAACAGTTAACCGTCTCATCGTGGCTGGGAGGTGTTCCTGGATTTCGGGCTCTGATATATAGCGGAGGATCCATCTACGCAGCAAGGTCTCCAAAGCTGATAAGGAGTCCGGTGTTTCTACAAGGAAGCTCATCTAACAATAAACCAGTACTAGAATCCAGCACCGCCCTGGTAACAAACAAGCCGAGTGGTGGCTAATCTTTCTCTGATCAAGAAGAGATGCGACTGCCTGTGGTAGTGACGACCTGGGGCAGACTTTGGCTACGCTGACTTCGCGACTCTAAGGAACCACAGTGGCTAAGCCAGCAAAACTCCGAAAAAGTGGAATTTATGTTGAGGCCCGCATAACCAGTGTAGACAGGCGGTCAAAGTATCGAAGTAAGTGAGTATTCAGCATATTCAGTTTTACTGTTTAATAATTCATATTGTCAGAAGGCTTCTCGGTGACGTTGGAATGGACGTGAGAATCTTCTAATGGAAGTGACCCTACGAAGTAAACCACGTCATGGTAATGGAAGGTTTTGCTTAACCGATATCGCCGTTGTTTCAAAGTTTCACGTAGGTTGGTTTTGGATACCACTCTATACATTGCAGATGATTTTTTCAAAGAAAAGCAGCGGAAATAAAAAAATATCAAAGTCGCCGAAAATGGAGATGAATTTTTCAATTTTTTTGGTCGGCTTTTCGGAAGATATCGTTAACCATGAGAGAAAAAACAATTGAATAAAAAATGAAATATCCGACTGATACAACATTTTGATGACAATACTACTCATATGGAAGTCCACACAGAAACTTAAGATTAAGAGGATGTATCTGTCCAAGAGCTTTAGCTAATACATAGACATCCAGCTGCATGACGCAGACACCAACTGACGTTGAGGCTTGCAAAGCTTTGCAGGGAAGCGATAAAAAAGGTCGAAAAAGCTAATTGCTAATACTGGCGTATTGACTGGTCGAATCCATTATCTATGAAAGCAAGATGACCTGCACCTTGATAATCCAGCAAAACTATCACCACACCAAGCTCACTGCTTGTATTCAGATCCCTCAACGACTGTTTCCGCTTCCATTCCCACTGTGTCGACAAAACATATGCTTAATTTTATTTTATATTGTTTTACATAACCTATGTTCAAATTCACTGTTTGGATCCCAGCACTTTTGCAGTCGATTCTATTCCTATTCGTCATCCACCGGGGTCTTTGAACTTTTTGCTTATCCATTCGGCTGCTGCTCCAGAATTGTCGTCTTCGTTATGGATGTTATTAAACGCTAGTTGAAGCGCATTCTCCCTAGAGTCCCGTGACAGCTAGGCTACAACGCTCCTACTTGGATTCCAGGAAGTGAATCGTCCACAGAGAAGTCAGGAACCAATTTCCTTGCTCCAGATAAGAAACTTGTTGCACTTGAAAAAAGATAGAAATGGCACTGTGCTTGGTGGATAACAACACCACTGCCACTGAGCTAACCCACAGAATCAGTACCCTCCTTGCATTCCGTTTCAACATGATATCTCGTTTATTAGGATCCATTGAGAACACCTGGACAACAACAGTAACAACTACTCAACTTAGTTGCCATCTACTCTCCCGAATACATTTATCTCACCTTTGATTTTACTGTAATACTGGTCACTTGATTCAGGTACAAACGTTAGCTTCAAAATTCTGGAAGAGCTTCACGAATATGCATGGACAAGCACTACCAAAACAATTTGACTCATCACATGAACGACGAAGATGAAGCCACATACACATCGTTTATTTCGTATAACTCATAAAAAAAGAAGCGAGAACGGATAATCATCAAGGTCTGAAAGCCTGGTTGAGGAGACAAATAGGAAGAACTTGCAAATCAATAGAACCTAAAGGGATCAAATGGTTTTGCGTGTATGTGGAGGAACAATAGCGATGGATTAAAAATGTGCATAAAGTGCAATAAACAAAACTACGAGCAAAAATCAGTCAGTCCAAATAACATTCTTGCTTGTTGACATCTCCGTAAATGTCTAATTTGGACACATCGAGTTGTTTCTTCTTTCTAGATTTGTCCTTCTTACTAGTTCCCAAGCTCATTATGCGCATACAACCCACATAAGGTTCTGAAATTCCACAGTTATTAAGAAATTGTGTAAAAAATTAAAATAATTGATAAAAAGCAGAAGAAAAAAGACGATTACCTCTAGTCTCTATCCCCTTGCTGACAACAGATTCTGGCACACCACCCAAATAAATAGGATCTTTTGTCACCGTCTCTGGTTTCCTACTCTTCTTCATTATATTCAGATTGCTTTTTCCGTCCACTGTCAATGTCATAAGATTCTTCTTTTTCATGATCTGCAGGAAACAACATGAAAGGCGTTATATATATAGGATTTATAACATGTGATGAAAAACAAGCTATATTAAATACAAAACATTGACAAATTTATTCTGTCTCATTGCGGATAGGAGAAATGTTCTCCTGTACGTCGTACTGAGATGGGGTTTACTGCATTGGGGTACATCTCTTCAGTGGGGAAAACTCACCCAAACATATACTTTGTACAGGACAGTGGAATGAGTATTTGCAAAAAATCCCTTGGTATCCGTGACAACTGAGAAGCATTGTCCCGATTATTAGCGAAGATATTTGGTACGTCATCTATTGCTGGAAATCGAGTTAAACGCAGTTCAAAAGGTTTTTTTAATTTTACATGAACCTATCATATCTACTGTGCAATTCGCAGCACTTCTTCCATTCGATTCGTTTTCCTCGCATTCATAATCCACAAAGGTCCTCGAATAGTTTGCGCGTTGTTTCGGCTGCTACTTGCAGATTTCGTCTTCATTATGAATGTCGTAGAATAATGGCCGAATTTACTCTTTTTGCAAACATGGAGATGGCCGAGCTAAGGCCTTCCCACGTGAATTGGAGGAGAGCGTTCGGGTTGTGGTCAAAGTAGTAGCTTGGCTCCTGACCGACTGTACCACTACACCACTAACCACTGTGTTACCACTCCCACCTACGGAGCAAGAAATACCACCTATTTTCTCTCAGCAGCAAGATCTTCATTCTTTGTTAGTTTGGATTGGTCTATGAAAAAGCTAAAAAAAACTCTCGGCATTGACCAATCCCTGAGAGATGCGCCATGGATTCGACTTCATCAAGTATAGTTAGAGGTGATTGAATGCACATCTAGCCTATACGATGACTCCAAGTGGCCTATCAACGTATCAAGTCAGTGTTCCCATCCTCCCAGACCACTTTGGCACCAATTTGCCCACTCCGGAAGGATGGATGGGTTGGTAAGCTTGGAGTGCGGGGTCGATCCCACGTGTACTAATGGGCGCCGCCAAGCACTGCGCTACACGCGCCCCTGGATTGATCTATACCTTCCACATTCAAACAGACAGTTATACATACATGCGTGCAAATTTTCCCCTGCATGTCGATGGTCGGAAGTATGCAATCTCAATACTGAGAAGTGCATTATAGTATGGTTCCGAGTCACCTCCAAAGAAATACGCCCCAATTCTTCTCTTCAGAGACCAGAAATCGTTCAAACGAAAAATACCTCATAACTAACTGCCTGCATCAGATTTCAAAAACTGTGCAGATCTTTCTCGTAAAAAAATTATCTATTGAAACAAACTTTTATCGAGTGCCAATGTCCATCACATAGCACATTTGCAGCTGAAGGAGTGTAGGTGAGATTCTCAGCTCCTGCACCGCTATCGACAGTGAACTAAACTCTTCGCTTTGGGATCATTATTCGATTTCCATACTACTGAAATGCTGAAATAAGAGTCACTTTTATGGAACCACCGAGAATCTGTACGGTAAGGTACTCGACGACTCCAACGGAAAACAATAAGCCATTTTGCGTACGTGGCCGCACTTCCATTTCTGCTGAGAACAATTGTCCTACCTGTAAAATGTACTTTCCACTGACAAAGATACTTCTAGAAATGATTTGATTTGTGATCAAAAGTGAAGGCAACTTTTATTTCAATGAAATATAGACCGCTGGAGGAACAGTTTTTAATTTTGCGTAGCAGAAACGGCGGTCCAAATTTTTTTTTGCACACAATAATATGCAAGAAACGATTAGAGCAAAGTTGTCAATAATTAATTGACCAATGGATAGTTATTCGTCGAAAGCAAATCTGTCTATGTTCACACGAAAATCCATCACACGTGTTCGAAATTAAACTGTGAATAAAATCAAATGAAATATACCTGGAACTCTTTTTTAAGGATGGCATAACCGCCTTCCTTTCCAAAGTATAGTCCGCTTTCAGTTCTGGACTTGCATTCGCCAACTCCGTGCTCGCGAGCCACCATGTCAAATTTCTTTTCATTAAGCTTGAACTCGCGAATACAACCGCCAAACTCGGATCTCACACCCTGTATGATGTTCAAGATAAAAAAGGATAAAGCTCTCAGCGTTGATCAATACACAAGGAATGCGCCATGCATTCGACTTCACCAAGCATCGCTGGTAGTGACCGGATGCGTATCTGGCCTTTACAATGACTCACGGTTGTCTACCTATGAATCGAGCCAGTGCTACTATTCTCCCAGACAAATCTGATACCAATTTGCCGAACCCGGAGCAATGGAGGGCTTGGTGAGCCTGGGGCGGTGGTAGGGCGCTGTCGACCACTGTGCTACACGCGCCTCTGTTCCAGACATGTATTCTACAATTTTTTGAAGAATCCAACCCAGTCTTTCAGCTCAGCATGCTTTCATAACTCACCGGTACAATCATTCTCGCGTAACTAGCTAGTTCATTTGGTATTCCACCAAGATACAGAGGAGGTTGAGTGTCAATGGAGTCAGTGCCAGCTGACACCTCCGCTTCTGCTGACTCTTCGTCCACCACAAGAAAGCCCTCGTTGCCTCGACGAGAAGCCCTCACCGAGTGCCATGCGCCGTTAAGAATTGAACGATTCGAGCGGATTATGGTCTAAATGGAGCAGTCAACACGCATTATGATACATTTCCATTTTAAAAAAACATCCTAAATAATGCGATTTTTTTTCTTAAACAACATGACGATAGGACAGGATTGCAGACACCTGGCCAGATCCAGTATCAAATGACAATAAAAGACGTCCATTTAGCAAGAACAATCCGATATGGTCCGTGTGCTTGTCATTTGTTGCAAACAGAATCACTCCATTTGAAGATGTTGGGCGAAGTCGTAGGGAGAATGTTCCACTGAAAATCGCCTTTGTACCAATAATGAGAAACTCTTTTTATGGCCAATTGAGAAAAGAACAAGAAGAAAAACAAGAAAATATTTTTAATTTGCGTTCAGATGATATTCAACTCACTTAAAGCAAATTAGTCACGTTAAGCTATCGTTGAGGATGGAAAATACAACTGCAATTGTGGTTGTGAGCTTGTAGTAATGCTCCACCCAATGAAAAGGCTATAGATCGACTGATGCACATTTGATAAAAATAACCTATTTAGACAGCCAAAGTTGTACTGTGGGGATTCTTGTCGACTTCAAGTAAATAATCCCTAGATCACTCAACTCGCTATGTTTAAGGAGTTAAGACATTGAATAGTTCATCATAATGAACAATTTCAAGTTAACGCGAAGTTCTTCGAGAACGACTGACGCAATTCAAACATTACCTCTTAGATTAATAGGATTTGAAAATTACCTCTTGTCGAACGAATCCGGCACCACCTCGTACTCCAAGCGACTGTTCGGTAGAAGTCCAAATCGACTTCCATCGCTGTCTTCACTATGTGCGGAGCGAGGTTCTGTACGCAATGCACAAGCACTCTCAGGAACAGGCTGGAAATTCAGCGTTCACAGCTCCCTAATAATATTCCAAGGATTAGAACTTTAAGTTTAATGAAGAGGACCAATGAGAGCTCGGAACAATTGTTCTCTATCGGCAGATAAGGAGACTATCTGAGTGGTAGAAAGAGAATGTAACAGTTGAGGTAGGCAAACCATTATTTGTTATTTTTCAACATTACTTACAGAATTTTAATTCCTGCACTTTTGTGTATTGGAAGCTTTGGATATTTTTATCGTCAGCGAAGTAGAATGTAGCAAGATGAATGGAATTACACGTGGCGGCTGTACTAACGGCGGTAGCAATTGTCGCAGTGGTTGTTATAGAGTTGATTATAAACGTAATCCTCGTAAGTAGTACCTCGCTTGCTAGATTTTCTTCTTGGGATCTCCAAAAAGTCGCGTTCGATCGCTCCCAGATCGTTGCCACATTCCATTCGAGGGTAAAACGTTACGCCAGTGAATTACTCGGATGCTCACGAGAGTGGATGACACAGTTACTACTAAGATTTTTATTTACGTTTCAGTAGGAAATAAAATAACTCAGTTGGGGGAATGAAAAATGTGTTGATGGGAAATTTCTACCAAATCTTCGTTTAGCGGATGGCAACGCCAAATTTTCGACGATTACCTCAATGCAGTAGCTCAATGAATTCAGTGGACTGGGAAGAAAGATTGGGAACGAACCGAATGAAAACTCAGTTCTCGTTGCGACGACGAACAAATCAAAATGGGTGGTTCTCTTATCAAAGATGCCACTTTGTACGTGTATCTTGGATGCTCGATAGAAATGAAGAACAACGTGAAGTAGGAACTAGGCATAATTCCTAGAAGAATAAGGAGAACAACATGGACCGGATTCCGACCTGGCAAAGGAACCACCGATCGAAAACAAAACCCCGCTCCCACCTTTCTGACTTAACATTCGTTCCCAGTTTTCTGCAATGCGGCAGAAACGTTGGTTGATACTTCAATCGCGTCAAAAAAAAAATCCACGCAGTGCTCACAATGGGGTCGAACGATTTCTTCCGAAATTTAACCGATATTCTTTATATCTAACCAGAAAGCGCAGTTAAGATCTGCGAAATCTACCCCATATCAAAGATCCAGAAGAATATGTATATTGACAGCGAAACGTAGATGAGTTAGTCACACAATAAAAAGAATAGAAGCAAGATAGAAGAAACGAACTGCGAAGTGATCTCCAAGAGAACGCAGGCGTTCCCTTGGAAGACCACCCAAACGATGGGGTTCGTGGCTAACGTCAACCACCTGCATTCCAGGTGGAAACGATTTTAGGAATTCGAAATGGGTCTCGTGGACGTCACCATGCTTGAAGCAGACCACCATCATGGATGAAGATTGCGCGAGAGAGAAACTAATGGGAATTATGATGGGGTTTGCACAACTAGTTAATAAGAGCCATCAAATTATCCGAATAAGTAAACATTCAGGCATGGAATGATGATGAAAGTTGTAGCAGGATTAATGAGACTAATGGCGCCATTTTTCATTTCGTGCAGACTAAAGTAATTCCTAATTATAGCACCACTTGTTATTCCTTCTTCTTATTTTTCTTTACCACAAAGTTGCTACGAGGTTGTTTCCAACTAATTCAGATTTCTAAGAGTACACTTTAAACACTCCACGGCTCTCCCTCATAGAGGGATTTCAAGCCGGCTGGTCGCGAGGCAATGTGGCGCGCCCCCAGGTGGCGGATAGTGGGTTAAGTGCTGAGAAAAAGGGACTTTTGCTTAGCTGAGACGCCAGAACCTACTAGGCTACTCTTGCACGCGACAGGGAGAAATGGAGAATTTAATTCGTCGTTAATTAATTAATCGTTCGAGTCATTCGACAACAAAGGGGACGGCAAGTGATGCAGGTGATTCTAAACACTACATCACGTTATAATAAATTCTAGATAACATAAACCGATTGTGATCTACTACGAGATATAAATTTGCTTTATCCATTATGATGAACCTTAACGATTCTAGGAAGTCCACGAAAACTTTGAAGGAGGCTCCAGCAGACGTTTTGCTCGGTCGTTGAAAAGTTTTCCGGAAAAGGTATCGATGTGGCATTGATCACATGCGTTTTGAAAAACTGCTGGTAAATTTCCGTTAGTTGGAGCAATATGGGTTGGAACACTTTACAATGTTGTAGAAGTGATGATATATGAAACCTCCCAGAGTTGTTTTCATTTCTTCGAATTTAAATTTAAAAGAGAACAAAACCAATTCATAAACAATGTTTACTTTTTATTTTCTGCCTTCTATAATCTTTATGGTAGGGTATTAAGCGAAATACAAGCACAATATTGCTGAGATATTTACAAAACTCCGAACTGCAGGTGTCTGCGGTGGGAACGAACGCGTTATTGTCCTTTCTGGGGAGTAACACGTTCACCACCACACCATGCAGGTCCAACGTTTCGCCTGTCTGTCAGCTAGTTCTATCGATCAGTGCCGTCAGCAATTCATAAACGTTTGACGAGAACGTAGCTGCCTCTAACATGGAGGACTCACTTGGAAACACCACCGCGTCCTGCAGAGATGAATTCCGCTTGACTTACGCCTACTTCTTCGAAAATTCGACGAACTGTGTGGATCCGCTTTAGTTTAAATGGTCATTTTACCAAATGTTGATCGGCAATATCTGCATGTCGTTAACGGTCTTCCTAATTGTCGGAGATCTCATCTCCATGAAAGAAAAAGAAATTGGAACCAGTGATTCTTTGCACTTCTGCTAATTGTTCCGCCTACAAATGCAACGACATTATACGCCGATTTAGCAGCTTCACAAGTGAAGATCCATGCAAAATACATGATTTCCTCTCCTTTTGACCCAGTAACAAAGCAAAATATAAAAACAAAAATAAATAGTGAAAATCCCAATAATATTGATTGAATCCTTAGTACAAGACCCTTAAAACAATACACAGTATAAAAACTGAAATGTAACACTAAATTTAAAAAAAGGGTACTAAAATCCTGAAGTAAAAATGTTGCAGTACTGTGAACAGCATCTACAGTAATATTTCCCCTTCTCACCCTAGAAAATATTATTGTTTTCAGTCTATGTTAAGCATTGCCACGCCTACGGATCACTAATCATCAACAGATTCCGATCTCAGAAGAGACATGGCAAGGAAATTGAAGTGAAAACTTTTTCGATCAATTGAAACCTACCAATACTTCTGTAGATGCAACAACAGTTGTCACTACGCCCGTCGCCAGAGTGTCCGGCTGCTATAACCCTATCTATTACAATACAACAATGGTTTCTGTGGCGATAAACACCTTTGTTAAGATGTCATTGTTTATTCACCAAATAATAACCATAAATCACCTCAGATCCCGCGATAGAAGGTGCATACGATGGTGAGATGGTTGTTTTAACAACATCAGCGGCTAGCGAACATCCAATTAATGACACCTCATGAACATTTGCCTTAAACTTAATTTTACAGTATCAACAACCTTAGAATTGAAAAAATTCGACTTCTTGAAAGAAATTTTACCTCGAGTGGCGGAAATATCCTAGTTTTTTCAAACAGAGAATTTACTATTGTATACCTTAGTAAAGTCTAGCAGTTCACCGCTGTATGATACATCACCAATACACCCCACGAACGAAGATGTACCGTGACGGCCAAAGAGGATTTTCACTACCTCGCCTGGTGACTAAAATAAAGTTTGTTTTGAAACTGATGCGGCGAAATCTAATTTGACACCTAGAATTTCAAACATCTCTAATTTATAAAACTGCATAAAACACTTTGCATCGGCTGGAAAACGTCTGACTTCTTCTCCTTATTTTATTTTTCATCACAAAAGACGAACGAACGAGTGGCATGAGAAGAAGGAAGAACTCGAAATTGCTAAACGGTTAGATTAAAGATGGATAATTGAGTCAGTTTCACGAAGGACACTGCCAACATACAACTAACGTTTTATGAAACTATTAGAAACCATTCCCGTTTCATCAAAGGAACGCTCCAGCCCGGCTATCTCAGGAATCCAGGAAGAACTGATAGACCAGCATTATACGACATTTAATTTAAAATGAAAATCCTCAAAGAGCAACCGAAGCCACACGTAAAAGTTGGAAGATCTTTGTGTAGAACAGAGGCGAGGAAACGAATCACAAGTAAGAAGTACTGGGATCCGCATAGTACACGTGAAGACGCACTTGACACTTGAACGGCCCGTCCTCATTGGTTGTGCGGACCCCAGCATAATCACCATTCATCGCAGATTTTCTGGTTAGGCCATTATGTTTCCCTGGAATCCCGAGATCAGCCTGGCCAAAGTCTGCCCCAAGTCTTCACCATCACGGGCAGTCTCAGTCCTTCTGGATCAGAGGGAGATTTGCCACCATGCGACTTTGATACCAGGACGGTGACGGATCGTGGTATTGGTTTGCTCATTGTTAGGCTTCCTGATTAAAACGTCGAACTCCTTCTCATCTTCGGAGGCCCTATCGGTGAGACGAATTCCCTGCTATACATCGCAGTCCGATACCCAGGAACACCTTCGAGCCACAATGAGGCGGCAAACCGTTGGGAGGCACGTGAAGACGGATCATATAAAATAAGAAAAGTATTAAAAACTAAATATTACCACATCATCGCCATTACTCCTTCGGACTTCTTTCGAGTGCAAATCATCAACATCGACACGTAAAGTCTCCTTGGTTTTACGTACGGACACATAATGCCATTGTTCGTCTGCAGCTGAAGTCATATCTAGCGAAGCCTTAAAGTAGAGAAAACAGAGTTATTTGCAAGGCTTGCTATTGATTTGGTAATGAACAGTGAACAGTGAACGTGAAATTACAACAGCAAAATTTATATACATCGATGAAATGTTTGTACACGTTATCTTTGTATAAAATGTGCAATGTACAAATGTACACGAAAAAAATGTTCTTTTGTAGGGCCAAAATTGTTATCCAAGTTTCGAGTAGAGCAGCTGTAGTGATGTCGCTCATGAAGAGCACAGTACTGGTTCAACTCCACTTTGTAGTATTCAAGCTCGTCTCCACTTCGGGGTTGGAACATTGGCGCCAGACTTGTCTGGAGTAGTTCACCTCTTGCAGCCAAGGTGAGAAGGCTCTGCCCCAGCTATTTCAAAACTCTATGGATCGACTCGACTATCTCTCAAGGACATTTGTAATGAAGACGACAATCTCAAGCAGCAGTCGAACTCATATGCGAAAAGTCCGAATATCTTTGTGAATGATGGATACGAGGAAACTAATCCGATGCAAAAATGCTGGGATCCGCAAAGTAAATGCGAAGATGGGTCGTGTAAAAAATAAGTAAACAAATAAACTGTTATCCGCATCGCCTCATAAAAACAGGAACAACAGCGTTAACCAAAGTGCGCCAGTTTTTGTTTCCGTTTAACAGTTCAAACGTTTCCATCGTCACTTCTTGTAAGAGCTATAACTGCCCAGATGACATCATACCAATGAAGTAAATTTCCTCAGCAGTAATCTACATTATGTGAACCAATATGCTAGATACACTACATCATTACGACTATAAGTATATAAGCAGTGAGTTAACCATACCTTATCATCACCAGCGAACGCCACAAGCATGCCATCTTCGATTCTCAACGCAAGTAGATCGTCTTCATCAGATTGTATTGTCAGCAATACACCCGTGGAACGACGAGTTTTGAAACGCAAAGACACGTTCAATTCATCAGCGGCTGTGATATTCTCGAAAACCGCTGATGAGCGGTCGGATAAAATTGACACCTGCAGTAACGTACCCTACTATTACTTCTTTCTTACATTTTTAAACTTTTTATTGCAAAGAAAAAGCAACGCAGCTACTTGAAATAAAGTATAAAAAACGCCCCTAACGGTCTGCACGTTCTTATCCTAGTAAATCATATAGTTAAGGCGCGTGTAGCGCAATGCTCGGAGGCGCCTAGCAATAAACAGATCGATCCCCGCTGAACAGGCTCACCAAGCCTTCCATCCCTCCAGGGCAACAAATTGGTGCCAGACTTGTCTGCGAGGATACCAGCACGCACAGGCTCCATGCGTCGGTAGGCCCCCGCGTTTCATTATAAAGGCCAGACATGCATTCAAACACCTCCAACGGTGCCTAGTGAAGTCGAATGCATGGCGCATCCCTCAGGTATTGCTTAACGTTGACAGCTTTATCCTTTATCTAATCCTTTTCAAAAAGGGGTATAATGGAGTAGTTAAGAGCAATGCTCTTGTTGCTCGTTGTAATAATTATGCCAGGTCCCCTTTGTTTTGATTTCTCTGAAAATCCGTCACAAGAGACACAACTAAAACCAATCAAAACGATCCTAAGGGATCTAGAAAACACGTATGAGTTTGACTTACCGTGTTCACAGTCCTTAATGCACATGCGTTTCTAACACCTTTACTTGCGTAACTCGCATACAAATTTATTTCATCCGAACCCAAACGAACAGATTTGATACAACCACGGAACGGTTCGATAGTGGAGCGCCTAAAGATGCGCAAGGGATTTGATTTCTAGTCGCTTCAATTCTATAGTGCTTCTTGATTCTGCTAAGCGCATAATAATTCGCACTCACAAAAGGGTAACTCACGTATTAACACCAGCCGGTGTGCCTCCAATATACAAGTATTCGGAGACGCTTAATTCAGACATCTCTCCTGGTGCGTCACCTCCGACCACCTAAAACCAAAAATTTAAAAAATATCTCCTGGTGAAGTAATTCTTGGTGAATGTTCCAAAAACCCCATTCGTATGTCCATCCTAAACTGTAATCTGTACCAACCAACTGATAAATTGGAAAAGAAATTAGGGCCTTCAAAATTCACCGTAATGCCATCGACATTCATTTTAATATGCCGCCCATCTCTCGCTATATCTAAGCTATGCCACTTTCCGTCATTATAGATTACAGTATCGGCAAGCCACTGTGCTACACCGGATCCGAAGTCCAGAGATAACTTAACAGCGCCTGCTGACAATTCCACAGCAAAGAAATCGCGCTAAAACAGAAAATACTCCGAATATTGATGAGCAATGCTATTAGTACTTACATCTTTTCCAATAAAAAACAGTAAACCATCTGGTGAGAAAGTGAGGAACGACAATGAGAAAACGGCTCGTTTACGCGGATTCCAATATCCCATTTGGTATATTAAATAACCGTCCCCATTTAGTGAAATGCCTGAAATAAACATTGCACATGTTGGCGGCAGATTTGAGACCGTAATCATAATTAATACTTACTCGATATTTGCTTGTACAGCACGTCCTTACTGGTTGTGCGGGCCCCAGCATAATCACCATTTTTCGGAGATCTGCTGGTTAAGGGATTATGTTTTCCTGGAATCCCGAGGTCAGCCTGGCCAGTCTGCCCCAGGTCTTCACCATCACGGGCAGTCGCAGCCCTTGTGGATTAGAGGGAGATTTGCCACCACGCGACTTTGATACCAGGACGATGGTGGATCCTGGTAATGGTTTATTCTTAACTGGACTTCCTGATGGAAACACCAGACTCCTTCTCAGCTTGGGAGACCCTGCCAGGAGAACGAAACCCTCGCTGTACATCGCAGACCGACACCCAGGAACACCTCCCAGCCACAATGAGGCGGTAAACCGTTGGGAGAAACTAATAGCGTGGATAAAACCCAGAAAAAAATTTTGTCGCTCATTTTGGATTAAATTACAAGCACATATGGATGTTACTATAATAAGCGCTTAAATAATAAACAACAACAAACCAGATAATAATAACCTGACTGCACAGTTAATTCCTTTGTTCCTGGACGTGGAGCAACGCCTCGTACATTTATAGCTCCTCCGGTCTTCGCATTCCACAGACCAACCGGCTCGCCATGAAGATTCAAGTCTTCAATATCGCCTTCAAAGTGGCGATTTCGAACTTCCCTTGCTATCTAAATTAGCGACCAGTGCAACAGAAACAACAAAAACAAGTCTATAAGCGTCACTGATTACAAGTTTTGAGCATTACAGTAAGCCATATTTTCCTATTACCCAGTAGTTAGAAAATGTTTCCTAAAAGAGATTTAGAAACATTTCTTACAGCGGGCTAGTTTTTATATTTTGAAGAGGCATCATGTTGATCCTTTGTAGGGTGTAGTAATAGTAAATGAAATCAATCGAAACGTAAGACCTTGCTTCCGACAGGAATCCCTCCAACATACAGCCGACTCATGGTTTGATGCAGATTCAGAACACTTTTGTCACCGTCTGCTACACCTGTCTTCGTCTCCTTAACCTAAAATTATGGGCGAAATCTAATTACGACGAAAACAAGACCAGGACTTAACACAGATAAAAATTTTTAAAAAAATTAAAGAATTTTGTGAAGCTGGATTCGTTGTAGTTAATAAAAGCACGTTAAAAAATAGATAGGCTGTTATTAAAAATAAAGTTTGAAGGGTACCATTTCACTAAGCGGCTTGAACAATCTTACGGTAGCCGATCTTCCAATCCGTTCAACGGAAAGTCGTCGCCATTGGTTGTCCGTAACAGCTCTGGAACAAAATATAGCTTTATTATGTTATACCTTTTCATTTTCTGCCTACTATAATTTCGCGGCAGGGTACTGAGCGAAATACAACCACAACGTTGCTGAGATATTTGCAAAACTCTGGACCGCAGGTGTCTATGGTGGGGAACGAACGCGCTGTTGTCCTTTCCGGGGAGTAACGCGTTCACCACCAGACCATGCGGGTCCTTCGTTTCGCCTGTGTCTCAGCTACTTCTATCGATCTTCGCCACAGCAATCACCCGTCAGCGGGATTGATCTCGGGCACCTAAATCGGCATAGAACTCATGTCCAGAGTTTTGCAAATATCTCAGCAACGTTGTGGTTATAGCTTTATTTTCAAGTGCACTTTAATAGCGGAGTTCTTTTCGCAACGTTTTGAATTCAAGGGAAAAAAATAATCGATTCCTTTACTTTAGCTATGTTAAATACTAGTAACTTGCGTGCTTAGTCTGATGACGAGAGGTTTTTCGCCCAGATCAATGATAACTTTCGGTCGACCATTTTCGATTTCTACAGCGATATAGTCGTCTGTAGGTACTGCACGTGTTCCAGCAGATCCCTCTTCGTTGCCGAAGAACAACGGAATACCTAAAATATATTTAGTTACATATTTTTAGAAGAAAATTACTACCTATGAGAAAACAGCAATGCGATATGAAACCATTCCTCGAAAGCAGCACAATTTCCTATCCCATTTACTATTGGTCTGTTCTATTATTAAGTCTACTAATGTTTCTAGTAGATTTTTGCTTTAACACATGTATACATGCAAAATACAAACGCGGACAATGTAAAGGAAAAGCTCCACAATCACATGAAACTGAATTTGAGGACAAAAAAACGCAGACCCGAAAGCTAAAAAGAACAAACCATGATCTTTTTCTGTACGAAAATAGAAGGAAATATCCGTATATGCAGCAGATCTCGCAACTTTATGAGGCATCGCAAGGTCAAGAGAGCTTCCACGTTCGAAATGTGCTCCAAGTTTAATCTAAATATCGTTCTTTGCTAAACAAACAGATGATTTAGCAAGGAAGGCGTCGAACTATTGCAAATTAGACCAAGCCACCACTGACTCGTGTGGATATAGAGCTCTTATGTCTTAAAAACCGACTTTCATTAAACACCGGTAAAAATGGCAATTTTTTACAGTACTTAGATGACAACAGGCTGGTATAAAAAGTTTTACTCGACTAGTGTTTCACCGCCTTCGCCATCTTACGAGCAGCGTTGGTCCGGGCTTGAGACCATCGACTCGGATCAACGCGACTCTGATGAGGGCGAGGTCGGCGAAACATTGGACGAGTGAAACCTTTTATACTAACTTCGTGTAAACTTAATCATTTACAAAATCATAAAGCTCTTGAGTAATTTGCAAAAGGTGAAGTAGAAGAACAAAACAATTACTCTATTAGCCGCATCTCTAGCTACCGCAATCAACTCCTTTAGAGCCGCTAATTTATCCGAACACGACTCCACTTTGGCAGTACGATTGCCAGCCATCTGTCGCATGTTTTCGAAGGACGTCATCAGATGTGGAACTAATGTGGACAGCTAGTAAGTAAAGAGCATTAATTTACTCATTGGCACTGATACTCAACTATTTAATGAAAACAACTACAATGAACGGAGATCAAAAAAAGTCTGTCAATAAATACATAATTGTCCGTTCTTTTTTCTCAAGTAAAGACCTGTAAAGGAGTATGTCTGTACCTCTTTAACGTTGCTTCTTGTCTTTTTAATGCCTTGTACTGCCTCTGTAGCATCTGAAACCGCCACATCTGTTGCTGTCTTCAACTGGGCTAGGTTATCTCTTGACGTCGCCAGAGCCTTCGAAGAAAGACATTCTATTATTCCTCCAGCAGAAGAAAAAATGAAAAAGAAAGAATGTATAAAGGAGAAAGACTTTCCTGCTCACATTATTAGAGTCTGCAAGAATATTGTTCACGTTATTTGCAGCAGTTTCGATACCGGCAAATGTGGACTCGTTTAATGGCGACGTGAGGGACAACCTAATTACATCAACACTACGACGCATTCCGTCTACCATTGTAGACAACTGAAACAGTGCTGTGAGAAATCATTAAACACAACAGTATACAATACCTACAGAGCGAGTAATTCGTATGTTATAGCCACTTACACGAAACATTTATTAACGTTCCGGACCGTGTTCAATTCACGTATTAGATTCTTTTACCCAATTTTGTGGGGTGAAATTCTTTGTGCAAGTTTTTATTCTATCTTTCAAAATTCCACTAAAATATCTTCAATGAATAACGCAAATAAGTACGCTAAATGTAGTCTAACTAGAGGTTCCCAACCACTATATGTTCGAGTAAAAAGTCGGACTTTCAGGAAAAAATTTTAGAACTTACACTATCAACCTTCTTATTGGTCACGGATGCCTCTTTTTCTAAAGCACTTAGAGTCTTCTGTTGCAAAGTTGATGTCTGATGAAGTAATAAAGCCGAACTATTCAAGGCTTCTTTAACACGATCTTTCTGCAATAAACCAGCTTGTTACAAAGGAATGTTAACAATACGGGAAAATGAGACAGGAAAACTCGCTAACATTTTCGCGTAAACCCTCGCTCAACTTTGAAATCTCATTGTTACTCCATTCGGCCATTTCACGAGCATTAGTTAGAGTATGTGTGAGGTTGCCGTATGCTGTAGCAGCCTCGACAGCATTCTGAAAGCAGAGATTATGAATTAAAAAAATCTGCGGCTTCAAAAAAACCGTTGAATTTTAGTAAACAAACTCAAGAAAATATCTGAACAGGGTTACACAAAACCTGAGATTCCATTCGAGCGGTACCAAATGTTTCCTTCAGATTTAGCGCTTCCGATTCAAGTTCTTCAACTTTCAAGTTTACTGCCTTCTAGAAAAGTGTGGTCCTATGGCAAATACAAAAATGAAAAAAACCTTTGAAAAGAATGTTCGCTGAGATATATGGAAAACTACAGCCCTTCCACAATACCACGTTTCGAAGAAATCTATACCTTATCAAACACTGCATGACGCTTTCCTCTCTTCGTCTCTGTGGCTTCAGCAAGTTCGGCACGAACCTCTGCCAGATTTGTCATTGAATTTCCAACTGCTTCAAGCGCATCCTTCGCTTGCTCAGTAAGATTTTTCACCTCCAATCGAAATTAAATACGATACTATAAGGCTTTTCTTAACAATTCTGATAAATGCAAACCTCCAGCAGTATTCCACTAACAGTTGCACGTTCATCAACAGCTTTGTCGCGCCCATCCAATAAGGCTTTTATTAGGCCTTCTAGTTTCAACGTAGACAACCGAGTGGCTATCTAAAAACTCAAAGCCTATGAGAACTTATAAGTGATCCTCGTATTCAACTTTGGAAGTTAAGGAGCTTATGTGTATAGTTTCTAAATTTCCTTGGATCAAGGCAAGAAATATATGGATGCTTCAACACTGCATACTCTCCTAGGTGACTTGAGGCTTAGAGTGGAATGTAAGGTGATAAGGCGAAAGTCAGCTACCATCGTGTATGACAGAAATCGACGTATTAACTACAGAAAAACAGTTATATAAAGTACATCTACGGCTTCTTTATCTTCCATACCAAACTTCCATCAAAAAGTTCAACCACTGTCAGACTATTTTTTCGAAAAGCGATAAATTTCTACTTATTTATTCTTTATTAAAAATTGACTGCATATTGTAAACTCTCAACGAAACCAAAAGTATCAAATGTATATGCGCAAAAATTAAACGTACATCATGCGATTGATCCGAATTCAATCGAGACTCCTTCAGTAACATTTGCGTATTACTCAGGTAGTCGGCAAACTTATTATTCTGAAGAATGACTCATTCAAGAAATGAACGTGGCAATCAGGCCTTGAATACGGACATCACCATAACCTTTCTCTGAACAGATTCCATTTTCTTGGTAAGGTTTTTTATGGCTCCACTGCGCTCTTTTCGTTTTCCTTCCAGCTCTGCGATTTGCGCCGAAACCTTCGTAACTAGTGCTGGAGCACCTCCACTTAAATATATAGTCTTATTTTGAAGGCCGCGGCAATCAGATATAAAGTAGAACTGAAACAAGTTAAATGAATGCCTATACCACTTCGAAAGAATTGGATAAAAATTTCCCTTCATGTCAATGCATTTTGCGGTCAAACCACCCATATTCTGGTCTACCAACTCCATACTGTTCCATCTTCCTGTGTTATTTCTACGAATGAATAGCTTTGGAGGGAAGCACTTTCTTAAGTGAAATAAGTGATCGAAACTTTTTTCTACCTCGTAGAGAATGCTCTGTACTTTAAACACTATCATATGCTTTTTATGTTATTCGCATAATGTTTCACAAAGTTAACTCCTATCTGTGGAATGTCTCATCACAATTAGTCCATGCTTCTGCTTCGCAACTGACTGAAAAGTGCCTGTAATGCCCTTTGTATGTCAACGCTCCGAGCTGTAAAATTGTAACTGCGCAAATGTGAAAACATCCACTAGGAAACGTCACGCCTATGCATCTGCAAAGAATCGAGATCGAGTTCTTCGAGGGATTCTGAGATCATCATTATGCTTTCAGCTCACCACGTATTTGTCTACGGAAAACTATACTAACTATAACTCAAAAGACCGACTATCTATAAACCTCAGCATTAATAATTAATATATGTGATTCATACGAACTGCCCTTGTCGAACTGAACTGAAATTAATACCAGCTGTTCTTGTTGTTGCTGCTCAGCGACTTCTTAAGAGCCCCGACGGAGTTTATGTAACGTCATTCTTATAATTCGGACGCGCCTAGCGTATTGGTCAGAGGCGCCCTGCAAAACACACGAGATCGATCTTCGCGTTCCAGGCTCACCAAGTCCTCCGTCCTTCTGGGGTGGGAAAATTGGTATCAGGATCTGCGAGGATAGCAACACCGACTTGATGATACATCGGTAGGCCAACGCGTGTCATTTCATTATAAAGGCCAGATATGCTTCAATATTCAATTACCAACGATGCTTAATAAAGTCGCATGCATGGTGCATCGCTGAGGATTGATCAACACCGACAGCTTTATCCTACCATTCTATCGTTAATTTGGTGAACCGTCTCACGTCTAGACTTTGAGGAAGGCGAAGTAATCGAAAGGTTAGCCATCGAATCCTAACAACAACAATAACTGCTGCAAACGTTGCTTCAGCTCCACAAGTGTTGTTTGCATAAATTACTTTCGCGTACTTAAAACCGCGTTTGCGCGTTCAAACTCGCGTTTTCCGAGTTTTTTTGTGCGGATAACTCGACCGCGTTACCGGAACTTGTTCGTCTAATATTGAAGTGCTCATTATTGCATTTGGGCGGTTAAATCCGAGTTCTCCGGTTAGTTACGGACGATTCTCCACTCCCTCTGATTTCCCTACTAACTAGCATTACCCAACTTCAAACACTGTCTTGTATAGCTGATGTACCGAGGCTATTCCACTGACTCTGATAATAGAACTTTATATTAGAATTAACTTAAGTGTGTTTTTCACTAAACGAAAAAAATTCTTTACTAACGCTGTCATCGCTTCCTGTTCATGTAGAGTATCTTCAGCATTCTTCAACCATATCGGATCGATAACTAACGCCGTTGAGTGACTTCCGAGCGAAACCACTAGATTTTTCGCTAAATCAACTGATCCAGAGGCATCCTGTAAACAAGAAATGGTAGACATTAAAATCATGGGTGTCACTATGGTAAGTTCGCAATCTACTAAGAACATGGAAAAAAGGACCACGGATTAGAATATTCGCTATAAAATTCACGGATAGAAACCAAACTTATGACCATCTCCAAAGTCTAATTCCCGCCTAAATAATTGTCAAACACACTTTTTCTCTCAGGCTTGAAAACAACAAGTACTTCTTTGCTCGGCCGCATTTCACATTTATAAATGTAAAATATGCGGTATCAACTGTTTCCAACGAAACAGTTTCCCTTTCGAGTAATTAATTTGTAAAAGATCTCACAGCTGCTCGTCTTCGGATATCTTGAAGAATTTCACCTGCAGAATCCGTCAGATTCATTATCCGTTCCACATCTTTACCTGTTACAGCTAGAGTCCTAAAGAGCAGCTTCATTTAAACTTTTACCTCGTAAGGCATCGAAAATAATTAAGTACGCAACAACTTTTTTTGCTTCGAATTGACCTTTCTGCAGAATTAAACAATAAAGACAGATTTGTGAGGGTTGAACGTGCATCACCGATGAAATTGTTGTACTCCTGTCCGGAAAGAAGTTCAGCTACTTCCTTAAACATAAGGATTTTGTGGGATCTCTACCGAAGAATAAAAAGTGAATTAAATAGAATATGCACTGTTTAATTTAGATGAAACTTAACCCACTTTCAGTGAAGACTTACCGTGTACTTTATCACATTCTTGGAATTACGACTGAGTCTCGCTCCAACAACAGTTGCTGAGGAAATATTTCCAATCGATGTATTCAGATGTCGAATATCGATTCCAAGACTATCTACGTCGGCTACAAGATGATGAACACATTCGTCACAACCTTAAAACAATGGAATTCCTAGCATTCCACAATTGTTCAACAAGGACGATTTTCTAGGAAAAAATAATTCAGATGAGGCCCTTACGACGACATCCGTAAGTGGGAATCCTCAGGTACGATTTCAGGCATTGATCACATCGAGCTCCTGTGGCTCCTTCTTGACAATGACACTGTCCGGTGCGTACATCACACACCGTTCCCATTGACAGATCAGCTTCACAGTCGCATTCTTGAATATAGACAAATTACGATATTCAGTATTAGACTATACAAATTCAAGTGTCGTTTTTCCAAGTATATATGTAATTCCAAATCTAAGCAAACATGAAACATCATTCGCTAAAAAAATGTATTCCATTGAAAGACACAACTCCACTGGGTTGGACTCTATACGTTCTCGAAGGCCCATATCGGAACAAGCAACAACTGTGGACAATCGACTCGGATCAATACTGCTCTGAAGGAAGGTGCCAGAACGTCAGTCGAATAAATGTCGGTGTCACCTTGCGCAACTGTAGCGCAGTGGCTCGACACGCCCTTCAACACGTATGGGATCGATCTCCGCGCCCCCTGTCCACCAAGTGCTCCATACCTCTGGGGTTGGCAAATTGGTATCACGCTTGTCTGAGAGGATAGCAACACTGACTTGATACATCGGTAGGCCACCGCGAGTCATTGTAAAGGCTAGATATGCATCCAATCATCTCCAACGATACTTAATGAAGTCGAATGCATGACGCATCCCTTAGGAATTGATCTACGCCGAGACCCTTGTCCTTTATCCTTTATCACCCCTGTACTAGTTCACCAATGAAAAAGTACATTTTAACTAGTTGTTGAGGGCAAAACAAAGTCGTTCTTCAAAATGTTCATTGGAAGGATTAAAAACTGCCGCACAGTCAAAAGTGTTAATATTAACCTATCGCTCACACAGAATAAGCTAAATCCTAAGTGGCAAGACATGTAGACCTTATTATGAACACAGTTAAGCAAATGAATAAAAAAGAGTACAGCGCTTAAATACATGTTAGGAAGTTTAGAAAAATCCCGAAAGCACTGACTCTGACATCCATATTCGCCATAATTCCAGAATCCATGTTCGCAATGCTCACATCGCAATCCCGTTGCTCCAGGTCGACAGGAGCACTGACCAGTTTCTGGATGACACTGCGTAGAAGACGATGCGATGCCACAATGACAAGGATAACAACCAGCACAGCGCGAAAAACCCCAATGGTCAACCTGCAAACACAACTATAACACTGTATTCCTTCCATGTTAGATCAACAGTCGTCCATATTTCCACGCGACTTGTTGTCGTCGTAAAACATAAGGCTGTGAATTCCTGTTTTTGCAAATGAGCATAGTTAGTGAGGCAAATTGTATTACTCACAGCACATTTGTCACAATTTGTTCCTTCTACATTTGTCTTGCACACACATCTGCCATCGACATTGTCACATGACGCCGATCCACATTTGTCGCAGGAACATTCTGTGCAGTTCTTCGCCGTAACTGCATCTCCGTAGAACCTTCAAAATCATACTGCATAAATAACCATACTACCAACTAAAATATAACGAAAGCAGACCAGTCAGCGGGAAAATTTAAAGAGCAAATACGGAATACAGTAAGCAGCCCAACAGTTAATCCACCTAACAACGTGAAACCATCAATACTGTAAAGGCTAATAATTTTCCTTATAAGTTTCTATTTCGCAATACTTATAGAGAACATTCTTTACGAATATTGGAATGTTCTCTATGTAAATTAATTATAACCTTATGTCAAACATTTTCGAATACGG